TCCATTGCCCGAGCTCAGTGGTCAAAGGCTCAGGGGCACCCACGCCCCCAGGGGCCCCGTGGCCCGCCTTCTTGCTGGTGCCAGGTTGGCTGGAGTCCGGCAGGGGCTTCCGCTCCCCTCCGCGTTCCCCCAGCCTAGAGCTTTTTTTTTTTCTCCTTCCCGCTAGGGAAGTCCAGCATCAGAGTCAACAGACTGTCCTCTGCGCGCAGTTTGTGCGAGTCCCACAGACTGTCCTCTGCGCGCAGTTTGCGTGAGTCCCACAGACTGTCCTCTGCGCGCAGTTTGCACGAGTCCCGGGGGCCCGGCCTTTCGCCGCTCTTCCCGGATTCCACCTCACAGCCCCGTCTCCCTCTGCCTGAGCCTGGGTCCCCAGGGATTGGCCCAGAACTGGGGTTCGGAGCAGTCCGGACTGAGGCTCAGCGCCGCCGGAGGCCTTGTTTCTTCCGGCTAGGGCAACCCAGCATCAGAGTCAACATTCAGTCCTCTGTGCGCATTGCGCGCGACTCCCGGGGCCCTGCTTTTCGCCGTTTTTCTGCCTCACGGCCCTGTCTCCTCCCGCCGGAGCCTGGGTCCCCAGGGTCTGGCCCATAACTGGGGCTCAGCGCTGCCGGTTCGGGGGGGCTCAGCGCTGCCGGTTCGGAGGTTCAGCCCCGGCTGGGGGTTTTATTCCCTTCCTGCTAGGGAAGGAAAGGCGGCTCCCCGCCCTCTCCTCCTCTCCGGCTGCGACCTCTCCGTGCGCGCGTGCGGGCGGGCACGCGCGCAGCATGTCTCCGTACCTTAGGCTCTTTTTCAGCTCCTCTGATTTTCTTTCTGGTTTTCTCTTTCCTTCTTGTTGTAGAAATTTCAGTCAGTCGACTACCTGTAGCTCTGGGCAATGTCCACTCTACATTTTAGTTGTATTCCATTGAAATTGTTGTGTGCTGCCGCGGCTAGATGTCTACTCGAGCAGCCATCTTGGATCCTCTCTATTTTATTTTATTTTATTTAAAATATATTTTATTGATTTTTCACAGAGAGGAAGAGAGAGGGACAGAGAGTCAGAAACATTGATGAGAGAGAATCATCGATCAGCTGCCTCTTTCACACCCCCCACTGGGAATATGCCCGCAACCAAGGTACATGCCCTTGACCGGAATCGAACCCGGGACCCCTCAGTCCGCCAGCCAACGCGCTATCCACTGAGCCAAACTGGTCCCAGCTACAGGCTGACGTTCTATACACTGAGCCAAACCAGTTAGGGCTCCAGTCCTCTTAAACTTCTAGAGGCATGGCTTCCCTGACTCCTGGCTCCTTCCTACATCTTCATAGCCAGCAGCACAGCCTCTTCAATCTCTCTGACTCTGACCCTTCTGCTTCCCTGTTATGAATACCCTGTGATGAATTTGGCTCCTGGGGGACTAGGGTCATCCCAACTCAGGGTCCTTAATACTACCTACAAAGTCCCTCTGCCACATGATGTGACACATTCACAGGTCCTGGGACAAAAACAAGGATGTCTTTTGGGGCCATTATTCTGCCTACCACAGTATCAAGACATATTATTGACAGCAAGGACCAAATGGAATGAAGTGTATAAATGCAGAGGGAAGGGTTTGAAAGGAGACATCTCAAACTACAAATGGTGGTTTCCTCTGGAGAAGGGATCTTGGGAAATGTTGTGGAGAAGGCCCTCAGACAAAAAAGTCAGAAGCTGTCCAGTGTCCAAGGAAGTCTTAAGCCAATAGACATAATAGACATTAAAAGTTCAGGGGGAGCCCAGCCAGTGTTGCTCAGTGGTTAAGGCAACCCATGAACCAAGAGATCATTGGTTTGATTCTCTAGTAGAGGACAGGCAGGAAGCAGCCAATCAATGATGTTTCTATCTCTCTAAATCCCCCTCTATCTCTAAAATCAATAAAAACATTTTTTTAAAAAGAGTCAGGGACAACTATTTTTCCATATTTTCAGTCATTACAGCACCATTTGTTGAAAGACTATTTCTGTCCTCCATTTATTTAACCTTTGTGGTAAATCAATTGACTATATAAATGTGAAAATACTTTTTCTGTATTCTCTTTTGTCTGTTTTTACTGTTTTGATTACCATGGGTTTATAATTTATCTTTTTTAATGTTTTTATTGACTTTAGGGAAAGGGAGAGAGATCGATCAGTTGTCTCCAGCACACTACCTACTGAGGATCGAGCCCACAAACCAAGCATGCACCCTGAAAGGGAATCGAACCGGTGACCTCTTGGTGCATGAGAGGACACTCACCAACTGAGCCACACACTATCCAGGGTTCTCTTAGTCATTCTTTTTCTTAAGACTTAATTATATCACTTAGTATTAACTATTAATACTAACACTTAAATACTAATTCTAATTTTTAATTCTAATGATTGGTTTTGCCTGCAATTGAACTTCACATAAGTAGAATCATACTGTGCACACTCTTTTGGGCCTGGCTTATTTTGTTCAATATTGTATGGTATAATTCATCCATTTCATTTTGTGTATAAGTAATTTGTTATTTAGTTGCTGCATAGTATTCCATTGTGTGAATATATTACAAGTTATGTATTCATTTCTGTTAATGGATATTTGGGTTATTTTGGATGGATTTTGCTAATAAAATGCAGCTAATTTGAACATTTGTGTCCAAGTCTTTGGTGGATATGTCACTGCTTTATTGTTGGGAACAGTAGTGGAATTGCTGAGTCCCAGGGTTATACATATTTCAGTTTTAAAAGATATAGCCTAGCCGAAACCGGTTTGGCTCAGTGGATAGAGCATCGGCCTGCAGACTGAAGAGTCCCGGGTTCGATTCCAACCAAGGGCATGTACCTTGGTTGCAGGCACATCCCCAGTAGCAAGTGTGCAAGAGACAGCTGATCGATGATTCTCTGTTGTCGATGTTTCTAACTCTTATCCCTCTCTCTTCCTCTCTGTGAAAAATCATTAAAAATATTTTATTTTTTAATATATTTTATTGATATTTTACAGAGAGGAAGGGAGAGAGATAGAGAGCTAGGTACGTCGATGAGAGAGAAGCATTGACCAGCTGCCTCTTGCACACCCCCTACTGAGGATATGCCCGCAACCAAGGTACATGCCCTTGACCGGAATCGAACCCGGGACCTTTCAGTCCCCAAGCCAACGCTCTATCCATTGAGCCAAATCGGTTTCGGCTCAATAAAAATATTTAAAAAAAAAGATACAGCCTAAAAGAAAAAAAGATACAGCCAAACAGGTATCCAAGATAGCTGTGTAGTTTTACATTCCTACCTGAAATATAAAAGACAGATCTGGTTGTTCCATATCCTTTCAATATTTGATGTGTGTATGTGTGTGGGGGAGAGTGGCTGGGGAGGGAGGGGTTGATGGGGGGAAAAGGAGACATATGTAATACTTTAAACAATTAAAAAAAAAAAAAAGAAGAGCAAAAACCACTTCCAAAACACTTGATGTCATTAGTCTTTCTAATTTTAGCCATGCTCATAGCACAGAGGTATTTCATTGTGGTTTAAATCTGTATTTCCCTAATGACTAATGAGATGGAATCATGTACCCATGGCCATTCAGATGTCTTCTTTTGTGATGATGAGCATGTTTGTGTTTTGCCATGTCTCATACTATGTAAGAATTTTTTTTAAAAAAATATATTTTATTGATTTTGTACAGAGAGGAAGGGAGAGAGATAGTTAGAAACATTGATGAGAGAGTCATCAATCAGCTGCCTCTTGCACACCCCCTACTGGGGATATGCCCGCAACCAAGGCACATGCCCCTGACTGGAATCAAACCCGGGACCTTTCAGTCCCCAAGCCGACGCTCTATCCATTGAGCCAAACCGGTTTCGGCACTATCTAAGAATTTTTGTATTGTTCTTCTTGGTTTTCTGTTTTGTTGAGCCATGTTATGGCTATCCTGGTAAGTCAATTATCATAAATAAGCATTGCAAATGTCCTATCTCCGTCTGTGGCTTATTTACCCTCTGAATGATGTATTTGTTGGATTGGCACTGTATGTATCTCGTTACCATTCCTGGTACATGGAAGGCCCTCAATAAATGTTTGTTGAGCCCTAGCTGGTTTGGCTCAGTGGATAGAGCATTGGCTTGGGGAACAAAGGGTCCCAGGTTTGATTCCGGTCAAGGGCACGTACCTTGGCGCATGCAGGAGGCAACCAATTGATGTGTTTCTCTCACATGATGTTTCTCTGTCTTTCCCTCTCTCTATCACTCTCCCTCAATGGAAAAATATCCTCAAGTGACATTTTTAACAACAACAAAAATGTTTGTTGAATGAATGAGTGCCTAGTTCTGGGCCATGGTTATAACTGTCCTGCCATCCCAGGATTCTGTGAGAAGTGCAGGAGATGCAGGATCTGTTCACCGCAGCGTCGGGTCTGCAAGTTTCAGATAGCGTCAGCTTTTAGAATCAGAAAAAGCGGAGCTGGACTCTTCTCCAGGAACTTGCCGGAGAAGCTCCACGTGGGCGCCCCGCCCACGGCTGTCACTTAGTCAGGGGCAGGACTGGGAGGTTTTCCTTAGGGCGTGGCTATTGCCCGAAACGAGGAAGTAAGTGTAGCTCCGGAGGACACTGACCAATAGGAGGGAAGAGTCCTGAGCCGGGGAGGGCGTGGCTACGTAGGCTCCGAGGGCGTTATCCGCGTTTCCACTGGACGGCCCGGTGTCGCGTGGGAACGTGGTGTCTTCATGGGAGGCGGGACTTCCGGGGGCGGGCTGTCGGCCCCGGAGCCCGCTGTCAGCTGACCGGCCACCATCTTGTCCGCCATTTGCAAGTTCCGTGGAGCGTGAGGGGAGGGGAGCGCGGCTTGCCCAGCGGACCCGCCGCTGCCGCCGCTCCGCCCCGGACCGCCGCAGGCCTGGCCTGGCTGCCCGCCCCGCAGTGGCGGCCGGCGGCTCAGCGCTCCGCGGGCGGCAAGGGCGGCCCCTGGGTCCCCGCACGGCACCCGGCATCAGGCCTCCCGGGGCTCCAGCCCGCCGGCCGCCGCCGCTATGGCCCTCAAGATGGTCAAGGGCAGCATCGACCGCATGTTCGACAAGAACTTGCAGGACCTGGTGCGCGGCATCCGCAACCACAAGGAGGAGGAGGTGAGCCGGCCGCACAGCTGGCCCGGTCCTGCCCGCGACCCCGATCTGCGGCTCGCCCCGAGGCTTCCTCCCGGCTTGAGCCCCGCCTGTTCCCGGCTTGGAGTCTCACTTTACACCCGAGGGCGGAATGCGGCCCCAGACGAGACCCCGAAGGTCCCCGAGCCGCGGTTCTCCGACACTCCTTCTAGCTCCTTCTGCCTGGGGGGGGGACCTGCCCCTGGGTGGCCCCCCTTGGAGAGCCTCAGTTTACCCGCTTGGCGACGGGGCTCTCTTCCCCCTTCCCGCGGTGACCCCGGAAGAGACTTCGTAGATCGCCCGAGCGGCGGCCCTCCAAGCTTGTGTGCCTCGATCACCTGCTCCAGGCCTCTTGGTTGAGGGACCCTCCTGTCCGCGGGGCAGTGGGATTAGTGCGTGTCCAGATCGCTCCCTGGGGCCTGGCCCGGAACTGGTTCTTACCTAGGGGGCCCGGTTCGGAGGGGGGCGGGGGCTGGGAAGGTGGATTCTCCCCTCTTAGGGAGAGGGACCGAGTCAGCTGGCGTCCCAGGCCCAAATAAGGAAGCTGCTGAGGGGTCCTGGGAGAGGGAAGCCTAAAAGCCAGGCGAGGAGGAAGGAAAGGTTTTCCAGAAGTAAAATGGTAACCGTGGGGCATCATTTCCTTCCTCCTCCCCCGCCACCTGTGTGACCTAAATTGAGGAGGAATGGGGACAGTTGGTGGTCACCAGAACGTGGCTTCACGGAAAAAGGCCCAAGCAGGTCCTTACACATGGGACGTTAAAGGAAGTCCCTGCTTCCCTGGCTAGAGGAAGAAGATGACCAGAGGAGAGCCACTGTTTGATACTGTGCAGGTGCCACGACCAGATGCCAGCCGGCCTTGCAAACAATGGCGCCGAGGAAGTCTGTCATTACAGAATAGGAGGTGCAAGGAAGTTGAATTTGCTGGGAGGCAGTCGTGCTGGGAGCCTGAGTTTCTGCCTGTGTGGCACTTTTTCACAGTAGGTGTGATCTCACTGAAATGTGATTAGGTTATTTTCGGTCATTTCCATAACCTTTCACTGTGTCTTGCATCTTGTTGGAAAGCTCTCCCTAATGGCAATGGTGACAAACGTGTAGCTACTAACTCCTATCCTGATCTTTCCTTTTGAGTTGAAGGAGTAGTTTAGTTGATTGCGCTTTATTACTGAGCAGTGGCTAAGCAAATCACTGGGCAGTACCCTGACCCTGGGTTTCTTGGGACCCATTGAACCGGGGTATTGGCAGCATTTTTTTAAGTAGCTCAGGACTAAACTGGTGCTGGAAGTCTTCAAACGTCACAGGTTTCCAGAGTGGGCTCTGCCCTGGGCCTGTGGGCGATTCCTGACAGGACATAGCATCTGGGTGCTGTTGTTTTGTTATCAGAAGGTCGTTATGATCTTGAGGTGTCACTTCTGACTCCTGACGGTTTATCTTTATCTTTGTCCCTGTAGGAGCGCAGCCCATGACTGCTGAGTTACTCTCCTAGTTTCCCCGTTCTCTAAAATAGGCTCTTCCCTACCACCCCACCACACCCCAACTGAGACATCTGACACTGTGCTTTTATGCAGCAGAAGTAGTTTTCCCCCAAAAGGTTACTTTTTAATAATAGATTTAACTTAAAACTTCTGTGCATTGTCATAGAAATGAGGTTTAGCAGTGACTTTAAAAGCTGCGTGGAAATGCAGGGTAAGTTAGTGGAGCTTGTATGAAGTTTAGGAGATTTTAGTCTAAGTTCTTGGGCCTGTTTAACTGAGTGACCTAGGCAGAGCCCCTAACCTGATTCTCATCTGTAAAGTGGGTGCAACACTGCCTCCTCTCCTTGACGGTGCTTATAAGGATGCAGTGACTAGCATAATGCAGGCTTCTGTGAGCACCAGAACACCCCATGAAGTCATGTACCTGGCTATTTTCATCCTCAACCTGTGGCCCTTCAGTGGGTTATGAATTCAATTTACAGGGTTATGCTTCAGAAAAAAAGAAGAAACTAGAAAACTAGACTTCATGTACATAGAATAATTGTTTCTTGAAACTTTTATTTCAGTTTATGCTACTCAGTGTGTACATGTGCATATGTATTGGATTACCAGAGAAAAACATATTTCTTAAAACAAGTCCCCAAAATAGGCCTGATTTACACATTTCTGGATGCTTAAATGTATTATTCTTTTTAAAAAAAATATATATATATTTTATTGATTGTTTTACAAAGAGGAAGAGAGAGGAATAGAGAGTTAGAAACATCGATGAGAGAGAAACATCGACCAGCCGCCTCCTGCACACTCCCCACCGGGGATGTGTCCGCAATCAACGCACATGCCCTTGACCGGAATCGAACCCGGGACCCTTCAGTCCGCAGACCGATGCTCTACCACTGAGCCAAACCGGTTTCGGCTAAATGTATTATTCTTTTCTTTTCTTTTCTTTTTTTTTTTTTTTTACTGAGAGGAAGAGAATAAATGTATTATTCTTAAGATACAGCAAGGATAATGTTGGCAGGTAGGGGGAAATCCACGTGTGAATGTCCTTGCTTCTAAAAGTTGGATATGACTAGGAAAAACCCCAATAAATGTTTTACTTTCATGGGCTGTTTTGGTATTATGGGGGGAACTTTTTCTTTTGATCTTTATAAAATTATACGTGTAACTTTTTGTAATAAGCTCAGTGTTTATTAAGTAAAAGGGGACACTTCTCGCTGTAAATCAGTTTGTGTCTCATTAAGACTTTTCTCTGCATAGAAATTGTGGGTGTTTCTGAGTGTAGCTTAAGATTCTGTTGTGACTTGCCTGTGAATTAACAATCTCACTGACAGCTTTCTAGGAGAGCATAGGAAGACCCTCCCATTGGTTTATTTAGCCAGTCCCCCTTGGGTGGGCATGAAGTGGTTCCAGTTGTTTGCTGTTTGGGGCTGTAGTTCACTCCCTGGGGCACAAGCTCTGCATGCACCTTTCAGTATTTGAGTGGAATAGGTTCTGGGAAGCATTGTGTTTGCATCTGCTGCTTTGCTGCCTGGGGCTGAGTACCAGTGACTAGCCATCCTCCCTTTGCCTTTGCTTTTCAATCCTGGAAGCTCCCTGTACTTCCCAAGGCTCCTGAACCCTTCTGTGCCCCTTGGTAGTCCTAGCACTGACATCTCTGAGACCTCAGCTACTGAGCTTATTAACTAGGGGCCCAGCTTCGAAGTCCATCACCTTGTGTTCCAGAGGCCATGCTGCCATTCCCAGTTGGTGACTGTGTGTAAGGCCACTTAGGCAGGTGACTGGATATAGATATATATATATATATATATATATATATATATATATATATATATATATATATATATATATATTTTTTTTTTTTTTTTTTTTTTTTTTTTTTTTTTTACAGAGAGGAAGGGAAATGGTTAGAGAGCTAGAACCATCAATGAGAAAGAAATATCGATCAGCTGCAACCAAGGTACATGCCTTTGACTGGAATTGAACCCGGGACCCTCCAGTCTGAAGGCTGACTCTCTATCCACTGAGCCAAACCAGTTTCGGCAGGTGACTGGTCTTGATGACCTTTCCTTAGCTGCTTCCATCCAGTCTTTCCTCCCTGACCCTTCACTCAGGGCCTCCTCCCAGCTCCCTCTTCTTTCCTATCACAGGAGTTGTCCTCAACAATATCTAAGCACATTCAACCTCATCTTGAGGTCAGCTGCTACTGGGTGGGGATGGGGAGCCTGGATTTCTGCCCATGTTTACTGACCTGGTTTCCTGTTACAACTTTCGAAGCCCACAACGACACTGGAGCCTCCCTGAGGAATGCCTCTCCTTTTGCCCCCATCTTCACAGCCAGCAGCACAGCCTCCTCTCTCTCTCTGATTCTGACCCTCCTGCCTCCTCTTAGAAGGACCTCTGTGATCACACTGGGGCCTGTGGAGAATCCAGGGTCCTCCCCATCCCCTAAGCCAGAAAAGGCTGGGATGTTCTCCCTGGAGCTTCTGGAAGGACCAGCTCTGTCACACCTGTCTTGTTGCAGCAGCTGCAGGAGACTTACACTGACCAACTCGCTGGCCTTTGAGTCTTAACCGTCTTCCCCCAGGCAGCTCCACACGCCACTGCTTTCAGTCCAAGCCCCTGAAGTGTTTCAGTGACACACACATTGCCCCACGCCATACCCCCTCGTCCCTCTGAACCACGGTAGCCTCTAGCTGCTCTTCTACTTTGAACAACACCAGCCCTGGGCTGTACCCACTTGTGCTGGAAAAGTCCATCCTGCCAGTTATGGAATAAGACCTGGAGATGTAGTTACAGCATAGGGAATAGAGTCAGGTGTTAACTAGACTTCTGGGGTGATCACTTTGTAAAGTATAAATGTTGAATCACTATGTTGTACACCTGAAACTAATGTATTACTGTATGCCAATTAGAATTAAAAATAAATTCAGAATAATAACAAAACCGCACAAGATAATTCTAAATTTTTTAAAAAGTCCATCTCCCGGATGAGGCCGCTCCCAGAACAGGATCCTGAGCACCACTGCGGACCTTATGGAGGTCTTCCTGTTTCACGAGGAAGACCTTCTGCACGCTCCTCAAACTGCCCAAGCCTCTTACCCATGACTTTGCCCAGCTCCCCAAGAGCACGGCCATTTGTGGCTCTTCATGTTGTTGCTGCTCCCCCAGACCTATGGGTCCCTGTGTCCTTCCACAGTGTGTCCTGGCTCTAGGGCAGTGGTTCACACTGGGAGCTTCTACTTTGGGCAATGCTGGGAATGTAGCTTTTGAGCTTCCAGCACCTTGGAATCCACTGCAGGGCTTTATAAAAACAGACTCTCTGGGCCTTGACCTGAGATCCTGACCACTGGTCCACAGGGAGCCCTGGAGTCTGGATCTTTTAGGAAGTGCCCCAGGGAGCTCTGAGCAGCCAGGATTGACATGGTGATTTTATTGCAGCCTGAGGGATTCATCTATGGAAGATATTTGTATCCTATGTTTCAGATGAAGTTCTGTCACAAGTGGTGAAGT